AGAAAAGCAAACGTTGTTCGAGGGCTGCTGTTTTCGAGTGCTCTCACAGTGTGTTTCATGTGCCATTAACTGGCAAGCCGTTGCGATTGATCTTGGCTAGGATTTTATTTTATCGTCCGCCAAACCCAACCCCAACCTCAATATCAAGCCCGCGCGGGAAATGCACATGCAAATTTATAACAATTTTACGTTCTCACATGCGTTGGCTCGTAAATCGTAAATCGTCTTACGGCAAAAGGTGCGAACGACTTTCCACACGATTTTCCTGCCAGACAATCTACAACTTTCCACCTTCGAGCTGCTGCTGCTGCCGCCGTGTGCATAAAAAATCGTTTATGGCTTTGCAGCGCTCAAATAGAACAAAGCATAAATCCTAATTTACTTACCGTATAACCCGGTGCTGCCACCGGCGGCATGTGTGTGTATGGGAGGACACAACATATATCAAGAACATCTTAAGCACATGACGGTAAATAAATACAAATGTGGAAAATTGTGAAAATGTTGCTGTAAATTGCCAGATTCGAGAAGGCAACGATAAAAACTAAAGTACAACAAGTTGCAAGCGAGAGTTTCGCAAACTATAAAGTAGAACGATTTACGATTCGTTCAAAAACTTGTTATTGCAACTACAAAACTCTCGATCGAAGCAAGCAAAATTTTCTCCTTTAATACTACCAACATCCTTCCGGTCTTGGAGAGAATTTTAAATTTAGTCTTAAGAAACTCATCGACATCTTTTGACTACAGATCGACTTTTATGCCATTCTATTGTCGTGGTTGGTAGAAATCAGAGAAGAAATATACAAAAATCTGATCCTTTATCAATTTATTTCCACCAACTATTAATATGATCTAAATAGCCGAGAAATATCTATTTATTTTAATTTTCGCCCCGGGAGCAGACCTTCCGCTCTATGATTTCCAGTTGACGCTTGTATCTTTGTTTACGCCAATCCCTTCATATAGTCCTGGTAAGCGTTGATAATCAAATTTTCTCGAAACTGTAGGTGCAGCCGCTTCTCAACACGCGACTAAGCTTCTATATAGATATAGATAGATATATAAATATTAATATGCGATCGGGAATATCTAATAAAATTCTAATATCTGATTCCCTGATTTGAGCAAAATTGAGCAAATTGTATTGGGGCTGAAATCTAGTCTCTGAGTATAGTCAATTTTTTTGTTTTACACAAAGGTATTCCACCAATTTTCCGCACTTGCGGATGGAATTTTCCACTCAAAGAAAGTAGCTACACATACTTTGAACCGTCTATTAATTAATTTGGGTAACTATCTATATAACGGAACTGTCTAATAAAATGCTTAAATAAAATTCTCTGTTTTCATCAAACTTAAGAAAATTAAATTGAGTCAAATCCAGTTTCTGAGTATAGTCAATTTTTTAGAACTCTCCGCCAGAATTCTCCGCCACCAGAAAGTGGCTAGGCTCTTACGGGTTCGGCTATGAATTGACCCATCTATATGTCAGTTAATTGATCTGTTTGTCAGTTGAGACAAATATTATTTAATGCACAGATATTTTAATTAATTTTGTCCCGAGAATAACCCCAGCTTAATCAACAACCCCAGCTTAACAAAGATTAATTGGAGTCTCAGGATATTTAAGTAATGCAAATCCATAAATACATTGGACCAGCGTTGGGGTATCAGTGTTTGTCATAGGCCCATCTTTAATACTTTAAATAGTATGCAATTAAAGTCTGCTGCTGCCAAGGCAGCTCTTAATGAGCTGAACTTGGTTTTGTGTACAGCCGCAACCGAGTCCGAACCACATCAAGTGGTTGGCAACTGTCTACATAGGAAAAAAAGAAAGGGAAAACAACAAGCGCTACATTGTTATAATTTATGGGGTCCGGTTACGAGTTCAGAACAAATAGAATTACAAATACAAATGCATAGGACATTAGCAATGTCGGATCTTGGAATTAACACGGCCAACCTCTAAGAATGCGAGCATATTGTGTGTGGTGTCTGAGTGTGTGTGTGTGTGTGTGTGTTGCTTGTAAGCTGCTTGACTTTGCAATCCGAATGCCAACAGCTTCCACAAAAAGCAGCATGTTAAGTAAACTTTATGGCCAACACAGTTCTCGTCGGGCTAGCAAGAAGCGAAAGAAAATTGCGGCGTGCAAATAAAACCAGCGCAAAAGTGAGGCATCAAAAAGCGGCAACAGCAACAGAAACAGCAGCAACAACAAGTATAAAACCTGCAGCGATAGTAAAATGCAAATTGGGCGGCAGTTGGGGGCCTCTTTGGCCCGGCTGACAGGCGGGATTCCCTCGCTTTGCCTGGCACTCTGGCAAAAAAGTGAAGGAAAAAAAAAAAGAAGCAAGCACTCGCATTCGCACTCGTAAAATAAAACTAAAGTGCAACAGCAATTTGTTTGCACAATTGCTGAATGCGGACATTGCTACTGTTGTTGTTGTTGTTGTTGCTGTTGGGGCTGTTGGTGTTGCTCCTGTGGCTGTTGCAGTTGTTGCTGTTGTTGTTATTATTGTTGTTGCTGTTTTTGCTGCTGTTGTTGCTGTTGTTGCCTTGGTTGCTGTTGCTGCTGCTGTGTTGCTGTTGGCACTCGTCGTATTGTTTGCTTTGTAGCCAGTTGTTGTACATTTTTATGACAGCTCAAATTGGCCCCCGTCGCCGTCGCCGCCGCCGCCAGCAACACTGTCAGCATATGGCAATAAATAGGCTGGCCAGGACCATGGACTCTGGCCAGGAGCAGCAGCTGGGAGTGCGGGACAGACGGATGACTGACGGCGATTGGCGTCTGATTTGTAAAGTTCATTTGATGCCAGTCCCAACAAAGAGCCTTGCTTGCTTTTGCCGGGGCCCATTTAATTTTCCATTTGGCACTTTGAAATTAAAACACAGAAAATCCCGCGGCCGCTTTTGACAACTTTTTAAGCTCCATTAGCGTTTGGCGCAAGAAAGCATAACAAGGATCCGCGCGACGAAAAAAGGGTCAAACCGCAGCGCGGCAGGACACCAGCCTTCAGTGGTTGCCACCCCGACCCCTGCCCCTGCCTCTGTCCCTGTGCCTGCCCCCGCTGCTGCTGTTAACCTTGAGGGGTGGCTGCACTTCCGCCGCTCGAGCGCTCGAAAAACATTTAACTGTTTGGCTGTTTGGCATTCATTGCGAATTTAAAGGGCAGCTTAGTGACAGGAATAATAAGGAAGCCCGCGACGGAAGCGTTGATGTCAACGCAGTAGACCCAAAGCCTGTGCAAGAGCTGGAGCAGAAGCTGGAGCTCCGAAATAACCACAAGGGACATTGGACTTGGGCTCCGGGCCTCGGCTAGAGCAATAATGGCAACGGCAATGGGCCACAGGGCCACGGGCCATGACGTCCTTGTTGATGTTGTTGTTGTCCTTGTTGTCGTCCCCTTTTGATTCGGCTGGCGCTGTGCAAACAGAGCAAAACCAAACCAAACGAAACGTAACGAAATAAACCCCAAACCTCAAAATGTTAAAAAGGACAACAGGCAACTGGGCAACTGGGCGCTGGGGATGCGGCTGAATGCCCATCGTCGTCGTCGCTTTTTGGCCATTGTTCTGGCCGCTTCTGGCCAACTTGTGTGTCAGCTTTTGGTCACAGCAAACTATGCGGCAATTGTCCAAATGCAAAATAATCAAATTAAATGCGAGCAGTGGACAACAATTTTGTGCAGCTTCCACTTCCAATTTGGCCATAATTCAGCTTAAGCTAGAGCCTGGTTTTCTTTCTTATATTTTTTATATTCAAGCCAGCCTCGTGCCAAGTTGGGCAGCCAAGTGGCAAACATCAAAACACAGCAGCACCCCAAAGTAACTGTTTATTCCAACCCCCAAATGTACGCCTGCTGCTGCTGCTGCTGCTGCTGTTGCATAATTTTCGGCAATCCACAAGTGTGTGTGCTCGCCTCCTTTCTGGTGCGCCTGTATGCGTGTCCGAGAGCTCTCGTTACATTTTCGTGGAGCGGGAGCGAGTGCGACTGCGCACTCGTTGTTGACATTTCGGGGGTTGCTCGACTTGCTTAGAGGCTGCCGCTGTTGTTATTGCTGCCGCTAGGCTACTTGTTGTGTCTTTGTATTAAACTAGTCATGAAAGCCCGGCTTATCGATCTACACACAAGTCAGAAATAGCATTTGCCTAAGCTGCCATCACTAACACGGGGATCTGCAACCCTTCTTAAGCGCTCACCCTTTGCCATTTACTATGCTATGGCCATTAATCGACGCCACCACCACCACCACCAAAATCGCCAACAACAGCAACAGCAATAGTGTTGCCGAATGTCTTGCTGAAAATAGCTAAATTTCATTTTGAAAATAAGCAGACTCTGCTTCCTGCGCTCAAATTGTTAATAAACAGGAATAAACCACATAAAGATGCCAACAAATAGCTAAATAACTTTAAAATTTCGACTAGCACAAACATAAACATGGCAAAAAAAAGCTAAGCTGATGGTCTATATAAAAATCCTTATTTACCTTAAAAATAGCTGGCATTACAAATTAATAATTGACAGGGAGAGTCGTCATAAAGATGCCAAAATTATAGCTAAATCAATTTAGAATTCCATCTCCATCCAGCTAGAAAGTAGCTGGCATCTTAAAAGTCAGCTGACTCCACGCTCTAAGCACAAATTGATAACAATCCGGAATAGTGCACATAAACATGCCAAAAAAAAGCAAAATCAATTCAAACATTCTCTAAAAATAGCCAAACTTAGCTAGAAAATAGTTGGCAGCGCCGAGCACCAGCCAACACCATCTAAGCGTTGCGTTGCCGTTGTTGGATTTGGTTTTGCTGCTGACCCGAAATCACGCACACTCGCTGTAAATTACACACATACACGCATACTCTCACGCTCATATTCATTTGGCTGTGTGTGTATCACAGTCACGACGGCAACTGTGACGTGACGGTAACGGTAACGGTAACAGCAACAGTAAAAGCAACGGCAACGGCAACGAAAAGCTGCGAACACGAAGCGCACAGAGTAGAAGAAGGGAGTGGTACGTCAATAACTGACGCACAGCGGCAGCAAATTATGTTTAAAACCAAAAGTCCATAGTGTTTCCAATATAAATATATTCAATTCAATTCAATTATTCAACATAAAAATAAAAGCAACTGTAATATTTATAAATAATACTCGTACAAAGTGCAAAACTACGCCAGCAAAAAAAAAAAAAAGAAGAAAAGTGCAACAACAAATGCCAGCGAAAAAAAAGGAGGTGTGCAATTTTCAACAGGCTTACAAAAATCTAATTTACAAAACGAATGCAAAGAAACTCAACTGAATTTTCGGCAAATTTACCCCCAGAGAAACAACATGAAAATCGTGTAAAACTGATAGAAAACTCAATTTATGCATGAGTTATTTTTTCACTGCTGCGTCAACGTTTAACTGTAAACTTTTGTTGCATGTGACGTATGCAACAAAGTGCCGAATGATGTACATGTGTGTGTGTGAGTGTGAGTGTCGTATACCGAAGGCTCTAACCGTACTCGCTGCAAGAGCGAGCGCTGCAAAGTATGCAATAAATTTGCGCATTGTTTATGTGCAACGCTAATGGGCTGGAGGGGCTGGCGAGGAGGGGGGACTCCGATCGAAACGAGAATGAGAGAGAAATAGTGAGAGGGAGAGAGGGAGTGAGGCACAGTGAGGTAGGCTAGGGCAACCAACAGTTGACTATTTGTTGCATGTATGCCTCACTCAACACTCGCTACTCGCCAGCTTTCGCTCTCGCTCTCGCTCACTCGTCACTCTCTTGCATACTGTATGTCGCACTCTCTCTTTCTCTCTCTTTGGTGTGCTGTTCGTATTCAATTCACACAACATTCGACAAGTGCAGAGTGAAACAAGTTGTTGTTGCTGAAACACAGCGAACAACGAAATTTTTTTCACTTATTCTTGTTCAATTTTCAACGATTTCGAGCTTCAAAAATATAACCAAAAGTGCGTACAATTAATTGCAATAAGTGTACAAATAATAGCAAAGTTTTTAATAGCGTTTAATCTTAAAACAACAAACGGCAAACGCAATCGAAGTCTGCATTTCCTAAACAAAGCCAACGAGTTCACGAGTATGCGCCATTTTAAAAAGTGGGATAGGGATAGATAGTTTCCTTCCACTGGAACAGCATACAAATTCCCGTCGCCCATTACCCCTAACCCCCCATCCGCCTCAACCAGCCCATACTCGAACTTCCACTTTCGGTATATTAAATAAACTGTTTCTAAAATGTTGCAACCAGAAAACAAAATTAAATATGATATCCGCATAATAAAACGTTCCGAATAAAGTGTTAGTCGTGTTAAGGGTGGGCTAGTTGGGGGCGTCTATTGGAAGGCAGCTTCTTGCTCCAATCGTTATGTGAACAGCATCCGAGCGTGAATTTGTTTACAAAGCAATGTTGTATAAACTTAACATATCCCATAAAATGAACCCGAAAATCACAGTGCTAAAATTTAAACAAAAAATTGTGATAAATATTAAATTCTGATAAACATTAATTCTCTCTTATCTGATCTTTGTAGGAATCAGTTCCGCAATATTTCTATCTAATCTATTTTTTAATCTACTAGATTTCTCTTTCCATTTAACTCCAATTCTACTAAGTATCTTTTATCTGTTCGTGAGGGAAGGAAGTTGCCCAATAAATCTATTTATATTTTATTTATTATTTTATTTACTCTGATAACTGATTTTAATTTTTTATAGTAAATCTCGTAAAGTTAAAGCTAGTTAATACTATTAAGTGTCTGTTATCTGTTCTTTAAGGAAGAAGTTCCCCAATATTTATATCTATGCTTTAAGCAAATTAATTATCTCTTATTTTATCTTTGAGGAAAGAAGTTCCTCAGTAATTATATATATTATTTTATTCACTCTGATTATTCATTTTAAAATTCTATAGTGAATCTATTTAAGTGAAAGCAAATACTATTAAGTATATTTTACCTGACCTTTAAGGGAATCAGCTCCGCAATGTATCTAATCTATTACATAGTCTACTAGATTTTTCTTTTCATTTAACTCTAACAATTTATTTAAAATTTTCAAAGCTAATTCTATTATTTTTTCCGTTCTATAAAGAACTTTAACTAATTTACACGGAAACTGCAACGCAACAACGAGAGCAATTTCTTTAGTGATTCTTTCCAAGCGAAACTACGCGTATTAAATAAAGTGATATAAACAAGAAACTGCAGATGTTATAGGGTAAACGCTTGGAGTGCTTGGGCCTGTGGAGGAGAGCCAAAGCCGAGTGCCGACGGAATCAAGATCAGGATCAACGATGCCCGCTAGTCGCAGCCGGCACGGGAACGGGCACAACAAAGCAGCAGCAGAAGCAGAAGTAGGAGTAGGAGTACAAGTAAAAGTAGAAGCGGAGCCGATATCTGTATCCGGTGCAGAGGAAGCGCTACTCTCAAGGCAGCTCATGTCAAAGTCGAAGTCAAAGTCGGAGTCGGAGTCAAAGTGAAGCATTTTACTCTGCAGACCACTCTGGAGTCGATGTGAAAGAAGGTTGTGCTATATCTAAATATTAAACAAATAATCTAACTAAATAACAAAATTAAACATAAGTAAAAAAAAAAAAAAACAAAAGGAATATAAAGAGAAAAGGATATACGGGGTGAATACTCATAAGTAGTTTATAAAACTTTATTGGACGACCCAAACTGGCAACAGAGACGAAGACGACACAATGTCTGTGGACTTTATACTGCCCAATCGCAACAAGATACAAACGATTGCTTACGCGAGCAAGAAATATGCGCCAGTCACTGAATCCCACAGCTGGCGACGCCCCAAGTCAAAGCCGAGCAGCAGCAGCAGCCGGAACGGAAGCGGGAACGGGAGCGGGCAACAGACGCTGCGAAAACTGAGGCCGGCGGCCACATCCAATGTGGACAAATCCCATCCGGTGCTGCGCAATGCCAATAACAATAACAGTAACCCACACAATGGCAAGATGACGGTCAAGTCTGGCCCCAAGGATAAGGATAAGGAGTCTAAGCGCGGCGGCAGAGCTGCGCTCAAGCGTGAGATAATCGAGTTGGACGAGGATGAGGGAAATGTGGTGGCCCAGCCGGACGACGAGCAGCAATTGGAATGGTCGGCAGCACAGTCCCTGGTGCAAATGAACTCTAAGCAGGAGCGCCGTCTAGGAACGGGAGCAGCAACTGGAGCTGTAACAGCAACAGGAGCTGGAGCCAAGGCAGTCTCAGCAGCCGCAGGTAGGTGCAACAGTTAACCACAAATCCACTTTCCGTTCCTGCCCAGAAATGGCGTCACAACAATATGAACAGGTGGCTGCGACAATTTGTGTACTCGTATTTATTTTTAGTAGCCGCTGTTCCAATGTTCGCCCACATTTTATTACCGCCACCCACTTGGTCATTGGACGCCTCTGCTCACCCGCCCTCTGCCTTGCTTTCAGCCGTGCTCCGTGCGCGTGTTTGACATTGTTGCCGTTAGCTAATCTTTTTAGCGTATGCTGGCATTTTTCATGTTTGCCTTCTTGTCAATGTTGTCGTTGTTGTTGTCGCTGCTTGTTGCTCTTGACAAAGGCTGCGGAGCAGCAAATGCAAACACGAAAACCAACACGCGCCATTGTCATGAAAGGATCAAAATGCGGCTTGTGGGGGGGGGGGGGGGGGGTCACTTGTAGTCGCAAGTCTTATCGATTCACCATACGAAATGTAAGAGGCCAGACCTAGAAATAATGACATCCCCCTATTCGCACCACTAACGAAAGGCAACAAAAAATACTAAAGAATGCGGTTATGGTATATTCAATCATAGGGCGTCACGGATTAAAGCCCAAATGGTCACACTCATTAGTAATCGAATTCAGCTGCACAGCTTTTTGGAGCTTAATTGAAACTCTTTAAAATTATTTGCATGCTGCATTAATACGTAAATTCGGGATTAAATGTATATTCAACAAGTAAGAGTGCCTCATTCGGCAGGGCTTGACCTGCTGGTAGCCGAGCCACAAGCTGTTACAAGCTTTCGAAATTTCTTTCATGATTTTTGTACTCCGATACTTATCGATATTGAGGAGGAAAACCAACGTAGGATATACCAGAGAAGAACGAGCACCACGGACTTAAACAGACAATATCAGACGTGGATACATATTCTTAACCCTTCAACCTGATCACGAATATATATGCAAACACATGTATAAAGTAGAAAACTGTTTGGAAAGCTGCAGTGAAAATTCGAAAAAATGTAACTAGTTCTTAAAATCTTCGATTATTCACCCGGACTATTCCCAACCAAATATTTATCTAAGGAGAATATTTACTAGATCTTTAAACTATTTCCGTTATTTGTCTCACATTTGTCAATACCGGCCACGGAATACGATAATTAATTGCTATCTGGAGAAAATGTCAGCAAGTGCAGTTGACAGATAGCGTGATGTCAACTAATTTTGGCACTTTTCCAGATTGTCAAAGAGTTCAAATATTGTGAATTAGATTTATTATGGAGTTAACAAACAATGGAGATAACGTGCAAGGAGAGTGCTGTGATATGCCCTTAGATTGTCAGTGGCTTTTCAGGCAGAACTCGAATTTGTTGGCAATAATCCGTTTAAAACGCTTTTTACAGTATCTATGCGCCGTCCAGTGGCCTTTGGTCGCGCCCCGGCCGAGGATGGCAAGGTGATCTTCTATGCGCCGCCGGCCAATGCCAACGGCTCCGCCAGACAACCCCAGCCCATAGCCATAAAGCGCGAACGGGAGCAACAAGTGGCAGCGGCTGCAGCTGCGGCGGCGACCTCGGCCTTATACAGGGGACGCAGCGTGGAGGAGACGGAGGCGGCACATGATCTGCTGTCCTTGTCGCAAAGTCTACCGCCGCTAATTCCGCCCTGTGTGGTGACCATTATGAAGCAAGAGATTTTGCAGAAGCCGCCGGAACATTGCCTACCCGTTATGCAGGAGATTCCGAACAAGTCGCCGCAGTCGCCGCCGCCGCCGCCATCGCCAGCGCCGTACCAGAGCAGCAGCAGCAGCAGCAGCAATGGAGCCAGCTCCAATATCCGGTTCATTGGTAGCAGCTCCTACGACTTGTTGAGCAGCGCGCCCGAAACATCGAACAATTGTTCGCCGCTGACGCCGCCCAATTCCGATCACAGCTCCGATGTGGACATCGACATGTCCTCCTCGTCCGAATCCGGCCAGCTGCACTGGAACAAGCAGCCGCCGCCTCAGCAGCAGCAACAGCGTGCCTCCGCTTTGAAGATGTGTCTCAATATGCTCGACGGCCGCACCAAGGCCAGCAAGGCGGCCACCAAGGATAAGGAGCAGCAGCAGCAGCAGCTGCGTCCCAAGAGTGTCAACAGCAGCCAAAGCAGCAGCAGCAGCAGCGCCACCAGTGATCAAGCAACTGGAGGAGCAGGAGGAGGAGGAGCTGCACCCGCTGGCGAGAACTATGCCAAGCGTAAGCGCGGCTGCTACAAGTGTTCCGAGTGCGGCAAGCAATATGCCACCTCGAGCAATCTGTCGCGCCACAAGCAGACGCACCGCTCCCTGGACTCACAATCGGCCAAGAAGTGCAATACCTGCGGCAAGGCGTATGTCTCGATGCCTGCGCTGGCGATGCATCTATTGACGCACAAACTCTCGCACAGCTGCGATATCTGTGGCAAGCTGTTCTCGCGCCCGTGGTTGCTACAAGGCCATCTGCGTTCCCACACCGGAGAGAAGCCGTACGTGTGCGTGCAGTGTGGCAAAGCGTTTGCGGATCGCTCCAATCTGAGGGCCCACATGCAGACGCACTCTGGCGACAAGAACTTCAAGTGCCTGCGCTGCAACAAAACCTTTGCTCTGAAATCGTATCTGAACAAGCATCTGGAATCGGCCTGCCTGCGGGATGCAGGCGCCAAAAATGTGGACGGTGACGATGAGGATCTGGATGACGAGGATGATCTGAAGCATGATAACGACGAGCACGACGAACTCGAGGCGGACGAGCTGGACAGCGATGAGAACAGCCAGGATATTGTGGTAGCCTAAGCTTATCTAATATATATGCAACTTAAAACTTTATGAAACTTTATACCGAAAATCCTATAAGCAATACTCGAGCACCCTTCCCGAAGGAAATATATAAATCAAATCAGTCAACTAGCAGCTTATTCAGAGTAGTTTTGAGCATGTCGAGCATGTGGAATGTGTTGGTAACGTCTTGGATGCCAGTTCTAGATCTCAAGAGTCAATAACATGTTTTCAAAAGCAGTTATAATACATATTATTATTACACATTATTATTACCTTCAATTATTAACATTATCTGACCTTTTCCTGTCCGGAATGAGCGAATCTCTCCAAGTTGGGCATTTTTATTGAATGAAACAAAAGAAAAAACTAAAACAAAAGGTTTAATATGAAATCCAAAATGTAACTTATAGTAAAAATCTGACACAACGAATATTATGGAACATAAGTAGAAATTCTATATATACACACAGATCAAATAAGCATATATACAAGAAGCAATGAAAAAGAACAAACAAACAAACAAAAAAGGCAAATTATATATTATATATATATATATATATACCTATATCTATATAAATTATATGAGTACATAGCGAGCAGAACCAATTTGCATGTTTTTTGGTAAAAAAAATACCTACTTTAAGGCATCGTTTTAGGGCTCTAGAGTTTATATAGATACATAACCTAATATATGAGTACTACGAGTATTATGTCTATCTCGAAGGGATACTCGTATAAGGTAAAAAAAAAAAACAGCTCATTTCGAAACTTAGCAACTAATTAACTAGTGGATTTTTTAGCACTTCCCGTAACTATCTCTCGCTCTTAGTCTTTTGAATATTTACTTAACACAAGGCATCAAGTTCGGTAGGCCAACAAGCAACAGATTAGCAATGAAAAATGATAATACTCACAATTTTAAACTGCAACAACTTTATATTCGAACCCTATTTAAAATGAATAACTTCCATAATATGCTCTAACTCGATAAACAAAAAACTACTTCAATTACTTAGAATGGAAATTAAAATTAATGAGAAAACAATTTAGAAACATATCACAAGGACAATACTTAAACATAAATGCATTCAATTTAAAAATATATAAAAAATATAAAAAAAAAAACAAACAACATAAGCAAAATTCAATTAAGATATAAAACGTACATTCTCATACAAAACAAAAACTACAATTGCAACATAGTTATTTTATTACTAGACTTAAATTATGTAAATATAATCCAGATTATAAACTAATTTTATACAAAAAGAAATTCCCAAATGAAACACCAACTTCGGCCTGAAGTCGAAGTGCACTAATCCGCGCAAATGTCTGATGAGTTTTGGGTTAAATAATTTTCAAAAATTAAACCCCTTAAATCCAATTGCGCGGGTTATCTTTGAGAAGTTTGGGCAAGCATCTGAAAGTTTCAAGAGATGTTCGATTCGATGTTCGAAACGGGAAGAGGGAGGAAGACGATGCGAAAGTAGATGAAGCACTTGTAAAACAAAATGACAACTAAAAGCAATTCCAAAAGTAAGTGACATAGTTTTAAAAAACGTAACTCTATTAAATCGAAAAGTATATATTATAAATATATATACACCAAACATGTATTTATTTTACGCGTAGTTTTATTCTGAAACCGTAAGATAATTGATAAAAAAACAAAAAAAAACTAATAGAAGGCAAAAACACAAATATAAAAGCAAAACCCATTTAATTAAATTGTCAATTACGATTATTTCATAATTTAAGAATTATAAAGCTGACGCTGATAGAGGTTATTTTTTAATGCATATATAGAAGTATATATATATTGAAGAGAGGCAGTTTTATATCAAAATTAAGCATAGTGAAAACACAAACAAAAACATTGAAAACAATTCGAACTTAATTATACAACGAGAAAGAAAAGAAAACAAAATATATACATATATTAATTATTAACTTCGGAGGTACATGGACAGGCGCAAACACACACACACACACATACACAAACACACACACACACACACACACACACACATTCACGCACACATTTTATAATAATTACAAATAAAAGTATATTTAAAAAAAACAACAATTATATCCGTATATACATACGTGTATTAATGTAATACAAATGCAAATGCATTTGCCATTTGCCGTATCAAATAGCAAAAAAAAGAAAAAAAGAAATAATTGAGATTAGAATTTAGACCACAGTGCTATGTGCAATTGTTTATAGGGCCATAGTTGAAATCGTGTTTATGCATGGCTTTATTGAAGATTATTGATAGCGTTTTAAATAGCATTAAATGCCTATATACATACATACACATATATACTATATATATATATATATTTATATATACAAATATATATATATACAAATTATATATATACATATATAAATATATATATATATATATATATATATATAAATAAATAAATAAATTCCATTGAACAGTAGTGGTAACAATTATGTGATTTGCAATTTTACATTCAAAATATATACATACCAATATATATATATATATATATATGTATATATATACATATATATATACATATATAACAAATAATTACGAACAAATATATTGTATATTGAGGCAAGCGTTTAATTGATTCATTTACAAATTAGAATTATTTATACACATAATATACCACAACAAAAATAAAACATGAAAAACAAAACGCAAGCCAAATATTTTTGCACAGATGCTTTGTGTTAGACTTACAAAAAGCAAAATACTCCCTCATTTGACCAGGACCCTGAGAAGTGTGCACTTATTCCCCGCCCTGAGAGCCCCCCCCCCCGCACTCACACACACACACACACACACACACACACGCACACACAAATTGGTTGGCAATCCTTGCAGATTTTTTGAGCCATCAGCAAATGAGATCAAGTTCAATGACACCAATTAAATTTTAATTATACAAATGAGATATTTTATAAAATGATAAAAACCATTAAAATAAATATAAAAAAAAAACGTAAATATATATATAGATATATATATATATATATTAATTTATATATTAATATATTAGAGATGCAAAAAGACTTGAACCAGTTATATATACATTTAAATTGAAACATATTGTGAACTTCATTTAATATATGGTATATACACACACACATAAGCTACAAAATAATTATTTATACATATTAACTAGTCAACTCTCTCTGAAATACGAAACATTATCGCCGCGCAGATCTCTATATATGTATACTACTTATATATAGGTCCGGCGATTTCTCTTAATTACTTAGCATTTGTTCTTGTTCGAATTTTAGTTAGAAAATGTTTTCCTCTACAATGGGAATGTGCAGCAATTAAATAGTTTCAGCTTTTGTAGAAAATCAAATAACAAAAATGAATAATCAATTCTTGAGCGACAAAAATTGTATTTAGACAATTTCCGATTCACATTCTATATACACGGTAAAAATCGGATTGTTCTTTGAGCTATTTTATAATCGATTTGAATCGTACATACTCGTATACTTACATATGCAAATACATAAATACATACAGAGATTAACATACATTTTACATACACTTGCATACATACATTAACACATACAATTTTATGGCAAATATGTAGAGTATATAACCTATTATATATTCCCCAAATGCTTATCCATTCTTAAATTAAAATACAAGCAAAAGTAAATTCACAGAGTCCATAACGGTTTAATAGTATATATACTTGCAAACATACATACGATACATGCATACACACGAGTATAAAGAATAAAAATAATTAAACGAATAAACAGAACACAAGTAAAATCCGAAAAAGGAAATAATATTAATTAGGTATAGTTACTTATTATAGCTACACACACACATTAGTGCAGCCATGTAACTATTTTTAGAGCCTCGGAAAATAAAAATACATACTAAACATTAAACATAAAATACATACAAATATTAAATAAACGACAGAGAACAAATTGCACATTGCTTTTAACATGGTGCTGCTCAATTTTGGAACAAAATGTTTCCATTTTCTCGTAATAAGGGCGGCAAATAAAATGTATTCCTAATCGTTTTAACAAAGAGTTTCACATTTTTGTTAATTTTACTTATTTATTTAAATTATTAAATTTATTTATTTTATGTTATTTATATCTTTTAATTATTTATTTTATTTTTTTATCTAATAATGGTCGAAAATACGAATGTCTTCCTAATACTCAACTATGAATTGAACCTTAAATATGGTTCAAAAATGCCGAATCTTAACCTGAATAACCTGTCCTGAACTTTAAAGAGGAGCCTTGGTACAAACCATGAAAAAAATCATTTAATATGTTTCTTTAATTTTCTCTCTTATAAAGGTTTTTAATCAAACCGGGCTAAGGCGAAGCATTATTGTGAGCCTTGAGTCGAACCATCGTTTTGTGAGTAATTTTTCTTTTAATCGAAGTTGCAAATCAAATTTGAATGGAGCCCGTCTGATTGGGTTAAAATTAGTCAAACCTTGACTGCACTTTGTCGAAATAAATCATTTATGGTGGGCTTGCAGCTTCGTTGAATCAAGTGAAACTTGAAGGATAACAAAGAATATTCGCTGGCTGTCTCTCCTCAGTAACATGTTGCATATACATTTAAATAACATGGTGTGCCTTATGTCAGCTCAGATTATTAACTATGCATTAATTCAAATATTAATTCGGCTGCTAAGAGACAAATGCACAAATCAAGTCAACACTCGAACATATTTAACTGACATAATCGAAAATGTAGTATGAGTGTGTGTGTGTATGTGTGTGTGTATGGATATGTTTAAATGAAATTGCTTGATTCGGCATAAACATATTTACTTTCTTGAATGTTTGCTTAACAATTCGATTTGAAATCCTGCGCCCTTAGATACCACTTGTGCACAGTGGTAGATGTGCATCTAAATGGAATTGTACCAAGGACGCGCTCAACGGAACAATCGAAGTAGGCAAACAAGCCGAATAGCCCCCTAGCCCCAATCCGGATTTCTCTTGTCATAGACATAGTCAGATTGACACTCACAGGGTTCGCGCCCTACAGATGTCAGCAATTTCTCGATTTGAATACATTCAACAAAAACGAAAGTGGGCAAACAATTCAACAGCGAACAAAGAAAGAAGGGCAACATACAAAGAAAAAAAAAAGTGCACAGAGGAACCCGCGCAAATGGCTTCTCTAACGACCCAATTAATTTGAAACAAAAAAGTTGCAAATAAAAAAGTACAAAAACAGAAGCATTTGAATTTAAAGAAGCGGTGGCAACTGCTTTATAGCCACAGAGTGGATAACGCCACAGGCCACTAAACACCGTCTCCAGCTCCGATTCCGCCTTGAGCTCCAAGCAAAAGTTGCAGCGCGAGAAAATCTCCCGCAACAGAAAAGTTAGCCAATGCCGACAGCTTCATTACAGCCATCATCATCAAACATCATCATCATCATCTGCCCATGAGTAATATGCCAAGCAAAATTTATTGTTGCTGGAGCTTATCTCAAGCTGCTGCCGATGTGAACAGTGCTGCCAATTCAGCTGTTTTCCAACTAAATTTGTTTATTTAAAATTCAAAATTGCTTCATGTTTGGATACTCAAACAAATATTTCAGCTATAAGGTTGACTTAATCGCAAATAAATATAAGCTCGGTCTGATCGAGCTCGATTCAAACATGTTCGAGCTCAGTTCGAATATGACTATAACGGCTGTGTACGAGCTAACCGTACGTTTAAGCTGTTGCCACCTTGAGCTGATCGAAGTACGTTATTATGAGCACCTACTAGATTAAAAAATCGTTCATTAAACTTAAAATTTAAGCCCGATCTGATCGAGCTCGGTTAAGACATGTCTATTTCGGTTGTGTTCGAACTAATCGTACGTTCGAACTAATCGTATGTTTGAACCTGTTGCCGACTCGCGCATGTCAAACTTCTTTCTTATGAATACCCTCTAGATTGGAAAATCGTTTAATTCGAAGGCAAGTCCCATGGTCAACCTTGCACCTTTAGATTATTTTTGCTATTTTTATTTTTTTTTGATTTATTTTATTTTTATTTTTAGGTTATTTTTAGCGTTAGTTTAAGCTAATTTGGCAGCACTGGCTGTGAAGCGGGCTGGAAAGAAGAGTTGCCGAGAGATGAACGGGAGAATCGTGGTGCGTGTGGAGCGAGGAGTATGAAGCTTGCGGCTTGGTTCGCTTAGAACGAAATTGCGGATATATAAATTTTAAGCACAGATGCTGTGCGATCGCAGTCTCGGGTCTACAGGCAGGTTGTGAACAACACATAGTATATCCCACTGAAATCTCTCCCTACGCTAATTAAAATATCTACCAACGATGTCTAAGTATATGAGCTGCATTCTTATCGCTCTGATTATGCTGGCTGTGTGCATTTTCACCAAAGGTGAGTAGCCTCAAATAAATTTAAATATAAAAATCGCATAAGTTGGGCATAATTGTACGAATTGCTTTCATTATTATTGCACATCTGTTCACGTTTCTATTGTTTGAAACTGGTTTTTTAATTTCTAAAAACCCAACTGTGTGCATGGGCGTAGAGAGCGAAGGGGCTGCCTCTCACTCCAGAAACAACAACAGCTTCAGCTCTGAACTCTCAGCTCGTTAGTCATAATTACGTTGTCGCTGCGCGCCGTGATTCAAGGTTTCCGGGTGTATGTCATTGAAGATTACCAGGCTGATAAGGCAAAGAGCTGGCAAAGAGCTGGCAAAGAGCTGGCAAGAGCTGGCAAGGCAATGATTTAATGGCTTGTAATTAAATTTTTCTTAGCTGCGCCCTATCAGGTTCTGGAGCCACGCAAGGGTCATGTGCCAGTCTACATACGCCATGGGGATGAGGCTCTCAGCAATATACATCCCGGCCTGGCGGAGGCCTTTAAGGAGGACAGCGTCCAGCCCCTTCGGGCAGAGGTGAGGGACAGCCAAAAGCAAAACGCCAACTAAATGTTGAATTTAAGAGTTTTTTCCTTAATCGACCATTGCCACAGAACCTTATTACGGAAGTGTCGACAACCAATCAACCAGCTTTGGCCGAGGCGGCGAGCACAAACAGCTCAACAGAATCGGATATAGCCAGTTTTGATGCCATTAAATCGAAGGACGCATAATTCAATTGAATAAATACCGAGTGACTCAAGTGTTTGTCATACTTTTGAGATACTAGAGCTTAATCTATAAATACCAAGTGATTCGAGTGTATTCCTTAAATACCAAGTGATTCAAATGTATTTGAAACTTATGAGATACTAGAGGTCATTCTTCACATACCGATTGATTCGAATGTCTCTAAAACTTATGATTTACCAGAGTTCATTCTGTGAGCTGCTGAGCAAATGTGACTCAAATGTTTCTCTTGAGTTGCTAGACTTAATTCTATAAATACCAAGTTATTTGAGTTTATTCTTTAAATACTCAGTTATTCGAATGTATTTGAAACTTATGAAATGTTGGAGCTTATTCTGAAGGGCTGCTGAGCAGGGGGACAGCTCGTTAACTGCTTGGCAGCCGTCTCTCCTCGCAACTCGTTGGCCAAATCGCCTTAGAGCTTTGCGTGTGATTTACTTGTTTTGACCCATTAGCGAGACATGAACTGGCTCTGGAGATGAAGATGTGGCCCGGGATGCGGCGTCGCAAACGTTTGTAATTAATATAATGGCGACGGCTGTGCTGGCAATGGGAAATGGCGATGGCGATGCCGATGGCTGTGCTTGTGGCTTGGGCTTCAGCTGTGGCTGAGACACTTCCAAAATAGCCTACACACATTGCGGTGCTTCGGGCCACAAATTGTTGTTTCATTGTCCTTGGCTGGGGGCTGTGGGCTGGCGGCTAGGCTGTCTAACGAGCAATAAAACTAAATACATACACATAAAGTTAATTATAAAAGGGCAAAGGAAATTGAAGTTGCCAACAGACTATTGAGCTGTCGATGCAAGTGACGGATTAAGCTAAAATAGGATGCGATCTGGCCGCAACGAAATCAGCCAAATGAAAAAGAACCACACACAATTTGGCCAAACGGCTGGCAATCAACTGGCCATTATCAGGAGTGCATAGCTCGAAGATATCCAACAAAATATATAATATATAATATATAATATATAATATATAATATATAATATATAATATATAATATATAATATATAATATATAATATATAATATATAATATATAATATATATATATATAATATATAATATATAATATACAATATATAATATATAATAATAATAATCTTTAGTATTAAAAAAAGTGGGAAGAGTTTACGCCAAACTGATATGTCTAGATCGACGGAAAAGCGAAGAAGAAATTCATCACACCCTTTAAGCCAACTTTAATGGCTACAGGGTATAACAAAAAGGCAAGAAAATATAAATGATAAAAAAAACGTAAAACGAAAAAAACAAAACGGAAAAAACTACGCATAGTAAAAGCGATTTTTAAGCTGCCTGTCGTTTAAGAACTGCTGCTGAATTTAAATTTGCTTCCTTTAGCAGCAGGAGCTGCCCGAGGAGGAGCTAGCCTAGGAGTAGTTCGGAGTTCGTGTAGCTATGTGTGCGTTCGAGCGCATTCAAGCTCAAAATGAATAATTGCATATGCTTCAATGATTTGCGACTTTGTGCGAATGTCAGGCTTTAAGGGCAGCCCCCAACCTCCCACCTGGCTCTGGTTAAAGGTGAGAAGCATCTATTGGATTGCTGGCTAATTCGAAAATTGCTGGCCACTTAATTGGCTGGTCCAAAACGAGCGCTTAAACAATAATCGAGTTAAGTGTTATGTGGAACGATTATCGCCTGCTCTTATTATTATTGGCTGGCCATTAACACGGTCCATCCAAATGGGATTCGATGGCTCTGCTTTGGATTTTTATTGGTTTAATGTGCATACATTTTCGGGCTAGCTCTCTATTTGCCATTCAGGAGGGTGTTCAGAATTCCAGCACCTCCAGCGCCAGCACCTCCAGCTCCACCGGTTACCCCGTGCACGTTGACCAGACTGCCCAGCAAATTGTTGCCATTCAGATTGAGGAGACAGCTGAGGAGACGGAGACGTAAGAATTGGTAATCCTTGCCAGCAATCGCAATACTTACCGCAGATCCAGGCGTATGACTTGCCGACACGCCCATTCTTGCATGCACTAAAATGCAATTGTCAATATGTTGTTTTTTCTCAACTAATATGCAATTTTATATTCCGCCCGGAACTTACTCTTATAACCTCAGGGGATGGCCTGGGGCATGAGCCACCTCCAGACCAACCACCTCCAGATCCACCACCTCCGGATCCACCGCCATCACCTGGCTTAGGAGTCTTCGGCTTGAGGGTTTCGTGAAGATTCATCATATGGTTAAAATATGTATAAGCTCCTGATCTGATTAGTAACTATCTATAATACTCACCGTATGACCCAAGGCCTAGTCGTGTTAAGAAGTACAAATTTATTTAAGAGAATAGAAATAATTGCATCCACATTTGAAGCTTACCAGCCCAAGTACGCTCAAGACAACAGCTACAAATAGAACTTTATGCATCTCAACAATTTCCGGTTGACTCTTATGCGACTGACCCATCTATCTGTTGCTTTTATAACCCCATCCGACCCATTGTCGGCTAGTGCAGCTTTATGGCACACATCTGTTCCATTATGCTCCCAAATAAGGGCGCTGAACAATGCGCGAACTTAGTGGGTCACTATACATTATGTCGTATACTCAAACAGACAAAACCCATTTATTGTCCGATCTCTATGAAACGCAGAATTAAAATATGTTATCAAAAGAGACAATATATATTTCAAGTTCCCATTCTCCGGATCGTATAGTATCTACGTATCTACGCATTCAGATTTTTCACTCGGAAGGTAATTATAAATTATGACGTATACTCATACAGACAAAACGCCTTCACTTAGCCCTACATTATGGAGAATGTGTTCCTGAATAAATGGGTGTTTTATTGTCCGATCTTTATGAAACGCAGAGTTAAAATAAGGCATCCAAAAAATTCCCTTTCTCTGGATCATTTGCTTTCCGAGATCTACGCGTTCAGATGCTTGCTCTAGCTTCTCAGAGATTCCCCAGGCCTCCCACACAGATTTGAACAAAAATATATTAAATATTGTTTTGATAATAGTTAATCTTTATTAATCATGCAAACCATTTTACACTCACATAAATAGGTAGGTTCAATTTCTTTACGAGTACTTTTAATTTGTTTTTTTTTTTTTTTTCTTTTGGCAACTACATACATATATGTGTATAAGTAGTGGGCAAGTTTATATGTTTACGATATATGCACGTTACGAGAGGTAATTGTACAATAATTCATTCTAATAATACCTTTATGTAAACGAGTAATATGACCTATCATTTTGCTAGACGATTAGTAATACGATTATTATTTAATTGTGTCTGCAAAACGTGGCAGAAAAAAATGACCAAACGCAGATTCATACGAGTAATAAGCGGCAATTCAGTTGTACAATTGGAGCCTTGCCCTGATTAATCGATTCGTATCCAACTCAGAAACTCAACCGATTTAAGCGTAAACGGAGCGAGCTTTTGAGTAGCGAGCTAACGATTCATCAAACCCGCAGATATTCATTCGATCAAGTTTAACTCAGATTTGAGCCCGCGCTTGTACTTCTGGTGGGGACTAGAGGGTAAAATTACTCATATCTAAAGAACAATATCAAATTTACGGCTATGGTCGACTATAAGATCCGGCGCATACTCAGGCGCACTGCGTCTTCTTGCAGTTGCACAGCCACTTGATGATTCTTGCATTGCGCTCCACGATTGATGGCGGCTCCGAGGGCCGATAGGGCTGGGTAGTTTGCGGCTGTGTCTCGGTGCTGTCCGGCAGTCGCATCGAGTCCACGGTGCTGTGGTCTGAGAAGAACACGGTGCTGGAGTCATCCGAATCGGTTTCGGGATTGTGTTGCCGCCGGGGCTGGCTGTAGAGCTCGTGGAACGCCTCGTCGTTCAGGCCCAACCGATCAAAGAACTTCTCCAGCTCGGATATGCTGGCGTTCAATGCCTCCCGCTCCATGTCCATGGCGGCCGACTGGCTTGCATAGCCGTCCGCCGAAAAACCCTTGGGGAAGAAAACATTCTCGTGATCCACGTTGCGCTTGTAGCCCGCCGATCCGCCGCCGCCCCCGCTGAGACACTCCATCACCTGGTTGATGGGTGAGGTGCGTGGTTGGACGGGTAGCCGGTTGCGATTCTTGAAGCGAATGCAACGCTGCCGTTTGAATTGTATGGGCGGCGGGCTAATGTCGTCCACGGACGGTGCCGAGCCGGGACTCTGTGCCAGGGAGCTCTGCGAATGGTTGATGCTCGTGTAGCCTTGGGAGCTGGTGTGTAGCTGCTGGCTGGAGGAGCTCGAGTAACGCGGCGTTTGGGTCTTGAGACGCGGCGACGGCGGCGTCGGTGTATAATCATCCTGGAACGCCTCCGGAACCTCCGGCGTGGGCGTGAAATTAAGCAAGTAATCGGCGGCCGCTTGATCAAAGCTCGGCGCTGTGTCCGGCTTGCAGCGGCAGTCCAGGCAATCCATGTTGCGTCCGGCGGGAGTCACATAGCCGCAGTACGAGTTGGCGCTGTGCTGCGTGGAGGAGCCGCTATCCCGCCGTGTGGTGGCCACCAGATTGCAGCAGTTCTTAATCGTGCCACTGGCGGTGCCCGGATTAGTTTCGCGCTGCCGCTTATAGCACGGCTCGCTGCGGTGCGTATAGTGGCCGGAGCTGCCGCCGGAGTCGCGATTAATGGACGACTCCCCCGCGGACTTGATGGAGCGATTGCCCCGGCTGCAGCAGCTCAGTATCTCGCTGTGCGGTGAGTGCCGGCTGATCTGCGTGTGCAAATCCGGCAGAGATTTGTGGCTATTGATGTTAAACTCGCCCGCCGTGTACGGAGCACGCTCGTCCGGAATGGCTACCTCGTGCGAGTGCGAGTACGAGCGTTGATAGTTGTACCTGTCCGGGAGAGAAACAAACATTCAGTGAAAGAGCTGCGTCCGACTGCTCGACTCACCTGTAACGCTCGTTGTGAGCCTGGCTCGACTTGGCTGCGTACTCGGCTGGCGGACTGATTGGTCTGTAGTTCTCGGTGAGCACCAGCGGCTCCTCGCCGACGCTGTTCGGCTCGCTAGGATAGCCGCCGCCATAGGTGTTGTCCCTGCTCCCGAAGGCATGCGCGGGCAGGTAAAGCGGCGGCGGAATCCTCAGCGCGGTACTCTCCTCCTCGCCGGCCAGCAGCAGCTCCGGATTGGCGTCACCCAGCTCATGGCGTCGGATCGTGCCAGCGCGCTCCTTGCCTGCCTCCGAGCCTAGCAGCATGCGCAGCTTGTGCTGTAGCAGGTTGTTGTTAACCGCCGCACCGGGCCGTTCCCTCGTCTGGCCGTGCATGGCCTGGCCGGGATTGTGCCTGTGATGGTGATGCTGGTGATGATTGTGCAGACTGTATTGCTGCTGTAACTGCGCCTGCTGCTGCTGCTGCCTGGTCAGGCTGATGTAGCGCCTATCCTCCAGCTCGTCGTACGCGGCACCGTAGTGTCCCTCTTCCGGCCGGCGTCCGCGCTTGACTCCTGCTCCGGCGCCATTGCCTCCGCCGCGATAGCTGGACTGCTGCAGTCGCTCGAAGACCGCGTCGGACTTGATGTAGAAGGGCTTCGATTCGGCCAGCAGTTCCACGGCAGACTTGCGTTTGTTGTAATTAAAGTGTCTGCCGCTGCTGTGATAAAACGAACCCGGACCCGGCTGACCCTGGCTCTGGCTCTGGCCCTGGCTCCAGTAATTGCGGCAACCCGTCGCCGTCTCCGGCAAAGCCGACGCCGACAGCGGACGCTGCGACATGCTGCCCGTGGCCATATACAACCCACCGTGTCCATTATACTCGCCGGGCATCCCGACTCCTCCTCCGCCAAAGAGCTGCTGGCTTGTCGCGTAGAGCGTCTGGCTGGCGGTGCGAGTATATTTCGGCATCGTTGTGTACATCGCGGGTGTCGACCCGTGCTGTCCGCCAGGTGAGCTGCTGCCGTTGCAGGAACGCTGCCGCGGACTACTGCAGCCGTGTGCCACGGTGGCCATGTCCAAAGAAATCAACTCGATAGCCTTGACTTTTCCTATAGCACTGAGGCGTCGCCGTCGACGTCGCTGCCGGTGTCGCTGTCACCTGCTGCTGCTCTGCTGCTGCGTCTCGGCCTCAAATATGTAGGAGACTGGGTCTGGGATTGGCTATGGGTCTGGGGCATGCGCAGTTGTAGGCGTGCTGCGTATACTAAAAAATTACAATACAATAATTTTCAGCTGCACTTTTTTCTTCTTCTTCTCTTTTTTAATTTAACTAAACGAATTTTTCAAAAACAATTGTAATAATTAAAGGCAATTGCGTAGATTTAAAGACAAAGTTTGTGTATATAGTATATATGTATACCCAAAGTTTATTTATAGATGGGACGCAAACTTTTCTGCGTAGTAACTTTTAGAAAGTTGGAAAATTCATCTTCACACACGATTTAACGATTACAGATTTTCTTTTTAAACTAAATAAATGAACACATTTCAGATTTATAACTTACCCAATTGATTGCTTCAATGTGCTCTAATTGTGACCAATGTGCTGGCATGTGACGACGTCGGCTGCAAGGACTACGACTCTTCCGTTTGTCACACTTTGAATAACAGATGTTGTTTCGATTCCAAATCATTTCAGCTGATAAAGCATGCGCCTGCTCAATAACGGTATAAAGCCAAGCAAGTATTTTCCAGCTAAGTTTAACCTATTTATTGCCAAATTGTGCCAAGCCAAGCTAACTCAGCTTCTTGTTACTATTTACAGCATTGAATTAAGCTTGAAAATAGTTTCCTTCTAAATTTAGCTGTATTGTGTCTATTTATTACCAAATTGAGCTTATTCAGTTCACCCGCTTGTTTTTCGTCAACAATGGATTGCGCTACGGCAAGTATTTTACAGCTATATTTGGCTGTTTTTAGCATATTTATTGTCAAGCTAAGCCAGCTTTATTTTAAATTATTTACAACATTGGATTTCGCTACCTTTTTAAAGTCTGCCAACACTGCCAAGTACTGCAATATATAAGGTGTTCCGTAAAAGCTACATAAAGTCTATATTAATTGTAGTTTAACTAATGTATACATAATGTATAAGGTTAAATAAATATCAATTTCATTTCAATTATAGTTTACCCTAACGTAAACTTATTATTATTATTGTTATTATTAATATTATTATTATTATTATTATTATTATTATTACTATTATTATTATCATTATAATTATTATTATTTTGTTTTTACTTTTATTATTATTATTACTTAATTATTTTATTTTGTAGAGTGTGCAGAATTCGTCTGCACTCGATCATCTAGTACACGTAAAGCTTTTTAAAACACGCAAAGCTTTTGTCGAAGAGCTTTGGGCAATAAAAGTCTAGAGTGCGCAGTTTGCGAGCAACAGTTGAAAAGCAGCTGAACGAGAGTGAACGCAAGATGTCGGCGGGAAACAAGGCAACATATGTTAAGCACAATAACGGCACCATAATCCAAGCAATTGGCCTGGGCACTTATACGGTAGGTGATATTTAGATTCCCTATTGATAGGGCTTATCACAATTGCTCAAAACGTTGACAGTCATTAGGCGGGGATTGCGAGCGGGCTACGCTGCATGCGATTGACGTCGGCTATCGGCACATAGACACCGCCTACTTCTACGAGAACGAGGCCGAGGTGGGCCAAGCGGTGCGCCAGAAGATCGCCGAGGGCGTCATCAAGCGCGAGGACATCTTCATAACCACAAAGGTGAGTATCTAGAGATTTGGTTGGAGTAAATTTAGTTTCATTTATTTAATAGCTTTGGTCGCACTTCCATGAGCCGGAGAGGGTGGAGTATGCCTGCCGCAAGACCCTGGCCAACTTTGGACTAGAGTATTTGGATCTCTACCTGATGCATTGGCCGTACTCGTATGTTTATCGCGGCGACACAGAGCTGATGCCCACGGACGCCAAGGGCGAGGTGGAACTCAGGTGAGTCTCTCTCCTAGTCAATCCTCCCCATTAAGCTATTTTGTCTTCTCAGCGACGTGGATTACCTAGACACTTGGCTTGCCATGGAGAAGCTTGTCGAGCTCGGCTTGACGAAGAGCATTGGCGTTTCCAATTTCAATTCCGAGCAACTGACGCGCCTCTTGGCCAACTGCAAAATCAAGCCAATTCACAACCAGGTAAGGCAAGCTGAGTTATCAATATTATGCACTTACCATATATATTCCTCCACAGATCGAATGTCATCCGGCGCTTAACCAGAAGAAACTGATCGCGTTGTGCAAGCAGCACGATATTGTGGTTACCGCCTATTGTCCCCTGGGAAGGCCGGATCCCGCCAAGAAGCAACCGAACTTCATCTACGACGCAAAGGTGCAGGCCATTGCCGACAAGTACAAGAAGTCTGCGGCGCAGGTGGTGCTGCGTTACCTGGTAACTCTCTAAAACTGAAAGTAGTACAAAGTAGTATTTCGATTAACATCCATTTAATTATAGATCGAAATTGGAACCGTGCCGCTGCCAAAGTCATCCAATCCAAAACGTATTGAAGAGAACTTCAACATCTTCGACTTCAAACTGGATGCTGGGGATCACGCGATCCTGGACACATACAACACGGGCGAGCGTCTTATCAAAATGGAGCATGCCGTCAAAAGCAAAAACTATCCCTTCCATATTGAGTTTTAAGAGCGAATATATGATATATACACATGTTTTTTTTAGTTAACTTAATAGCAAAACAATATAATATAGCTATTAGAGCAGGTGCATAATTAGCAGGTAACTGTGCGGGAATTTAAATCGAACACAAGTGCAAGGCGAGATGTTATCACTACCCACACATACATATGCATCATCTGTGTGAAGAGAGAGAGAGAGAGAGAGCTTTTTAGACTTTATGAAAAGCACTCGTATGGGAAATTCCACTACCATTTGTTTGTAAGCAACGCCATCGAAAAGTCAATTGCGTTGAATTTATGGAAAATTTCCATTTATTTAAAAATAAGTTTTCAATTTAGACAAGCAACATAATCATGTACTAAACTCATTTTTTTCAACTGTGCTAAATTTTTGCGCGTACTAAACAGCTGTTGCGTTTTCAGGGTGACCACACGACGATTAAATGCAGTGCTGCCAGATGTTTTTGCTACTGCCGCCGCCCACTTCACGTCTGTTCGACAAATCAAAACATTCAGACACAATAATATGCCGCTTGTTGTTGCTAGCATTCGCCGAGTCAACGCAATGGTGTACGTGTACTTGCAACCCTCCAGGAGTCGCCGTCACCCAGCTGCATTGCAGTTGTTGTCTGTGCACGCGGCGCAAGGACGCTAAAACACGTGAGTGACGAAGAAAACGAGTGCATTGCCTAACAGTTGCCAGACTGATTTACATATTTAACACAAACAGAAATTTCCATCAACAACAAAAATCTGAATATCGCTTCCGTCCAAAACTGAAACGATTACAGGTCCAATACGGTGTCAAAGGGCAAGGTGCAGAGTTCAGCTAACCAATCGATGCCCCACTGCCACACAATGGTCTATTTGCGCATTGTGCTCACCACGCTGGTGATAATAACGTGCCTGCTCGGCGACAATTTCGTGGAGCTGACACAGCATCCGCTGCTGAAGGCCCTGGCAGACAATGCCACGCATGCCGCGATTGGCGCTCTGACGGGCATCGCATTTGCCATGCAGTTCTATGAGCGCACAACTCAGCTATTCGGCTGGATATTGATTTTCAGCTGCTTTGTGGTCTCCTCGTTTATTGATCTGGATCATTTTATAGAGGCGCGCTCGCTCTACTTGGAGGTGAGATGCAGACGATCTTATCTACTCATGTACAAGTTAGCAGCTAAGGTCCATGTACTTAAAGTAAATATTATCCGGATTTGTGTTAGTAGCCGAGCAGATATAGTGATGTCCGTCTGCCTATTAACAACTTGTCATAGAAACTAATCTTAATTTAAAAGAATCTTCTTATTCTCTGTTTCAGAGCCATGTTTAAACCAACCTCTAAGGCATGTAGTTCTATAGCTATATTCGCACCAAACATTACAAATAGGAGCTTCACTTTTCTTCTCAACAAGAGTGTTCCATCTTCGGCTTGCCGAAGAGAGCCGTTTTTTCATGTCATAAACATTTTTTGTAATTTACAGGATGCCACCAATCTGTCGCGACGGCCATTCTTGCACTGCTCAAGCATTGTGCTGGCCATGCTGTTATTTTATATATGCACCGCGTGCCTGAATTACTTCCGCAGCAGCTTGCTTCTGGGCGCCCTGCTTTGTGCATTTATTACGCATCATACGAGGGACGCTGTGCGACGAGGATATTGGATTTGGCCCTTCTACGACCATACAGACCGCATACCGCAGCTGGCCTACATTGTTGGCACGGTTCTTACGCCCTATCTGCTGGGCTATTTGCACAACGTTTGCCGAAGTACTTTGGTCATCAACTTCTTGGGTCAATATGTTAAGCTTAGTGAAAGTAATTATCGAAGTGGCTACGACTCAGCCGTTGCATATCGCTATTTGCAGCAGGTGTAAGTCTATGATACGATAACTGAACAATTAATATGGAACTGCTACAACAAATGCTTTTTAGGCTTCAAGCAAAATAAGTTAGCTTTAAGGAAAACTAGACACAATAGCTTCCATATGACAGGAGACTATTTTATTACAAATCCATATGAAGCATATACGAATACATTAAGGAGGTTTTTACTCATACCCAGCACAAAGACAATATCCAAATTATGTGATATTTTAGCATAGGTCTGTAGCTCATATTGTTAGTCTAGCGCACAACTAATCGATTGAGAATTTTCAATTTTAACATATATTATCACAGGCAAAAACCCATTACAATTATTAGAGCTAAGAAAGGATTTTAATTAATGAATGCTAAAGGGAAAATTTATAAATTGCTGTTGCATCAGCACAAAAAGACAGTGGATAGTTAATGTGACTAAGATGGTAAAATTTCAAGTATTAAACACGCTATTAAATCACGAGCATGTGTTGCGTAATATTAATCAGTGCGAATATACCTTATTCGATATTTAATTTCAATTGTGGTTTGGTATTTTTGAATTGTATTACGTCTTAATTCGTTAAAAAGTGCAATTTTGGAAAATTTTCAATTGAAAATTTCCACTGCTTGGCAATAAATAAGTGATTAAAACATAATGTGAGAATTGCGGAAAAACAAGCAATCGGTTTTGAAAGCAACGAGACAAATAAACCTTAGTACAATGTATTATCCGACAATTGTACACACACCTTCTACTACACGCCCACGACCTCATCAACGCCAACCGTACAGCCGTACAGACACGACGGCGACGACGGAGCAGAGATTCGGGTGACAAACGAATGTGAATGTTGATCATTTGCGTTTGGACGGTGCTCCCGTTTGGATGATCGCCGTTTTCCGTTGCTGCATTTTAATTTGAACAATTCAACTAAACTTTTTTGAGTGTGTTTTTAAAAGCGGGCCAAGTGTCGCGTATCTTGAGCCAAATTGGCTGATCCGGAGACAAATACCGAGCATCCGTTTGCCGTAAGTGCAGTTTAGTCCGTGAGAGCACTTGGAAAAATCAAAAATTGTCAAAACATGTTTTGCATAAAACCTTTAACGTAATTACGCTTCGTTTGGCAGCAATTAGTTCAATTATCTGCTAATCGTTTAAATATTATTATTATTCTGAGCTGATTCAAATCCACGCAACTATAACTCACTTATTAAATGTCTCCCATGTTGTTCATTTAAATGCCTTCAATTTAAGCGCATTGTCAACTTCCCCATATAACCAGAGTCTTGTCTGTGTGTGCGTTTGCGTGTGTGGGTGCTCCAGTGTATGTGTGTGTGTGTCGTATATGCGTATATATAAACATATATATATATATATATATACAGTGGCTCACAGATTATTTCAACCAGGTACAAAAACTGGTAAAAAAGAATTTTAAGGAAGCTATAAGAACTAAGTTGAGAAAGATATTCAAATAATATAAATGCAGATTTTTAAATAGTTGTTTCAAGTCCTAAAATATGACTTCATATATTTTATTTTTAAATATAAAAACAATTCAAAAAATAACATAAAATCATCTTAAAGCAGTGACAGCTAGTTCAACTATTTAATAAATTAAATTTTAAATTACAAATTTTTTAATTATCATCTTGAGCCTTGTTGGCATTAACCAACTTTTGGTTAAGCTGTGGCGTAATTTTGGTCAATTTCTCAATTTGAAAAAATTGTAAAAAACTAACGTATGCCAGCCATATTTGAGATCTTGCTGTATATTTTTATTAAGTTTTTAAAGCTTCCTATAGATTATTTAATGTACTCGTTAAAATTACTGGGAGCCACTGTATATATAATCCATATAATGTACACAGACAATTTCATAATATTTATCTAACGCGATCATAACGATATATATATATATATATATATATATATCTGTATATATACAACTATTAGTTCTATTTTGTACAATTTGTTCAAAAATAAACTGTAAATATTTATATTGAACGAATATTAGCAGCGCCAGCAAAAGATGAAAATAAATCATTGGTAAACGCAAAAAACAGCATGAGAAGCACATAGCAGTGCACTAGTTGGGAATATACGACAAGGAGATACCCTAGGACCACCGCCAACTGCTGTTGCAACCATTTTAAACTTTCTTTACATATACACACACAGTCACACATGGACACATGCACACAAGCAAGCAGCCAAATGTGTGCAATTACCAAAACTATGTACTATACCTCCAGGAAAGAAGGTTTTCATTTTTAGAGAAACCGAAGCCAGGCTACCACTAAGCAAAATATTCGGGAGCTGTGTGTACTTAGAGTTAGATATAGATATTGATATAGATATATAGATATAAAGATATATAGATATATAGATATATAGATATATAGATATATAGATATATAGATATATAGATATATATATATATATAGATATATACCTGATACCTGATTATTCTCTTGGTTTTAAACAACTTTTCAAAAACCGGGCTGTCGATATCAATTCTTATCGATTTCGTGGAATTCTAACCTGGACTTTTCATGCAATAGAACAACTTTGGATCTTATATTTACTGATATCGACGCTTTTATACTTATAGACAGATAGCTAGATCGACTCTCCTGTTGACGCCGAACCCAAATGTACAAAAAATAGGCTGTCAATATCAAATCTTATCGATTTGGTGAAATTATCGATGATTTGAATTTAACGACCTTTGCGTGTAATTAGGATATTGCAGTCACCGTTCATGCTGAACAAAAAAATATATACTTTATGTCTTCTTCTACCCGTCACATATATTTGCTACAAAACAATATACCCCTTTCATGCATTTGCAACGGGTTCAGGGTAATCAAAAAATTTTTTGGATGGCACATCACGACGGTTTTTTATATCAATAATATGAACAAGACGTATATATATTATATTTATATGTACATATATATGTATTTAATTTTTTTTTCATTAATGCAATGAGCTCTTTTGACTCACATTTCACGGCATGGTTAGTTCAATGCGTGTCGCATATTATTCGCATCTTTTTCTTACGATACGCACACAACTATTCAAGTGTCAGTTCAGAGTAAAGCAAGAATTCTGATATAATGAATGATATTGATACTAATAAGCTGATAATAGAATTGTTAACGCTCGTTCAACCAATCATATCGTATTCGTCGGCCGGCAACGACAGTGGAACATGACGTATATCTTTGCAACAATTTATTGAATGAACTATTATTATTGAACATGATTATACTACAATTATTGAGTAATGTTCTAATTCCTGGCACAAAAGTTAAGTTCAGTTTGTAAACAATTTAAACATTTGATTGTGTGTACATAGAAGGTCAGAGATTTGTCGGCAATATCTCACTATTTATCACAGCATACTCCATTTGAATGCATTCCAAATAACAACAGCTTCAGCGTGTTACGGCACGTGATATATTGCGTATACGCCACGTGTTGCGACATCCAACGACAGCCGCTTAAATAAAAGGCTACTTCTTTCTTTGGTTTCCATTTATTTCTGATCTCACTCCCTGGCTTCCATGCATGATGCACTTTGGCAAGTTTCTTTGCGTATTTAATGTTCGCCTTGTTGCCCCACGACAACTGCTTAAAAATAGCTCATACGCAGCATGCGCCGCCAAAAAAAGCTGCCCAACCTAAACGCACTATGCTCGGAATATTGAACTAAATTATGCACGTATTTAAATTAATTTAAGCATCCTAGTTGTATGGCCTGTTACTAACATGTGAACATCAAATGTTTTGACAGCTTGACTATATACTATTAGGGACTGCTCGAAAAGCAACCATCGTATACTTAAGAGTTTTACGAGTGCAAGTAATATATATATAAAATTCGAATACCTCGGAAAAAGGATGTCTGATTAAGTTATTAAGTTATTTAGCTTTCAAAAAAATATATATCAATATTTATTTATTAATTTCTTCGTAATTATTCAATTCATTCATTGTACAAATTGAATGTTAAAAGTTTAATTAACATAGAATACACAATTTTCTAATATCACAATTTAGCACAATTTCTTCGATTTCGTTTCTAATATGAGACATTTTTGAGTCTAGTTTTGAGTGAGATTTTCATAAATACAATTTCACACAAATCTAGAAAAGTTCTTTTCTATTTTCCACCAATTTTTCACCTTTGGAAGTCTGTCGAAAACCATAATTTTGACGTTTTTCATCAATTTTCCAGGCAGACAGTCAATCAATAAGTCAGTCAGTTGGGAAAAACATGTTGTATATATATTTTTCATGTTGTTCGACTTTCACCTAGAAATCTCAGGGTGGTGGACTCAATTAATCGCGCAGATAAATATATATTAAAAAAAAAAAAGAAAACAACTGGATTTATATGATGTACTTTGAGGAACAAAAGATTTCAGAATATTCCCAGACAGTTTTATTGTGCTCTATGTTTTCTAAATAGCCAACCTATATAATATACCTATGTATCCATCAGATACGTACACACAGTTGACTAACAAAAAAAAAAATGAATACTTTAAATCCGAGTGCATATAGAAGACTCGTACTTTTCGTACCAGCTGCATGTGCTGACAACAAAATAGTAAATGGGGGAAAAAACACAACCCAAAGAAAATTGAGTAAATCAGAAAAGAAAATTAACAAAAATCACAAACGCAACAACAAAATGAGAGATATTTCAGAATTTTTGAAAAGCAGCAACAAACTGTCTGGCTTTTCGAGCTGTTTTTGTTTGCAGCAACATTTCTCTTATTTTATTAGTATTATTTTTGTTGTATTATTTGTTGGCTTGTCTCGCGCCCACATTTTGTATGTATTTTAGTTGTTGTTTCGCCAACATTTCTGGCTGACGGCAAACGAAATGCTCAATTTTGTTTGGGACTTCGTTGCGAGACGATCGTCAAATAGAACGCGCGCGTCTCGAAGAAAAGCTAAAAAGTGAAACAAATAAAAAAGTGTATAGTGTGAACATTTGGACCGCAGTTAAAGCGTTATTAATATTAATTATTAATAATTATTCAATAAAGTTTGAGCTTCATTTGTTTTTGACTTTTACTTTTCTAACAACAATTTGTGAAATATTTTTATTGCTTGCACACGGCGCATTAAGCTAATTAAAATACACTTAAAAGAAATAAACCAAGTGGGAAGTGAAAAAGAAAACTGTAAAATAATTAACAAAAATTTTCCAAATTTTTAAATAAATGAATTAAATACACATCGTTTGGACACACGCTGGCAAAGCAAGACTGTTTTTAAATTTGAGCACAGCCACCGAGAAATCAATCAAAAGTAGGGCAAATATAAATATTACGCATACGCCACCGTTGCCGACACCGATTCCCTGTTTGCTCTTGTTATCTCTCTCTCTCCCACTTTCGCTCTTTCTTTTATCAATATTGAATGAGCCCAATGAGCGGACTACGTCAGCAGCTGAAGGTGAGTAGCACACAGAAGGGAAACCTTTCATAGAAACTATATCTTCCATGTTTTCCTGCTAACCTGAATCGCATTGAACCCCAACCGAACTGCAGAAGCCTGCCAACAATTGTGTAAATATTTATTAAATTGGTTGCAGCCTCCGACTGGAAGGTACTAAAAGTGTTTCGTGTTTACAATGCATTTTTAATACGTGTGTAAATATTAATTGTTGATTTCGATAAATAATGTTCAAAGTCTGTTGGCACAATAATTAATAGCTTGTTTAGCTCCCAGTAAGAAGGACGCACTTTCTTAATATATTTCAATTTTTTTTATTGCGTAAAGTTTTTAAAGTTATAAAAAATTAACAAAGGAAGCCTGTCTGTCAACAATATCAACAAAGGCCTTGATTACCTATTGTCAAGAGCAGTATTCTGTCAAGGTATATAGTATATATTTTCTGCTTGAAAAGATTACCCGTATGTAAGTATGTAAGCATTGCCTACATATGTATAAAATAAATGTTCTCAAAAAGCTTTGAAAAGGATTTTGAAACAGATCGAACGGTAAACAAACAACTTTCATTCAATCGTTTTCTGTAATTTACCACTGCTGCGAGTGGAATTTCCCAAATCGTTAAAACATGATTTATTATATTCTAATGTAGAGCTTTGAAAAAATTTACAAATAAATAATCTTTAAAATGAACTTTCCACCGAAGGAGTTTAGATTTTGTAAAAAATGTGAAAAACCACTCAAATGATTTCTTATGTAGATCCCCCAAAATGAATATTATTATTATAATGAAAACATCACCCACCAAATCTTTGACCCTCATTTCCACCAAGGAGGGATGGATTTCCCAAAAAGGGGGAAACACTCCTCAAAGGAATTTAAACAAAGAACTTTGAAATTGAGTTTAAGGTCGGTCGAATGGTGAACAAAAAAGATTCATACAAACGTTTTCAGTGTTCAGTGTTTTTTGCAAACTTGCAGTTGGAATTTTCCGAAATCCCGTTTAAAGTGCACCTTCATCACATAAGGTAACTACAATGAAAATTTCAGTTTCCTATCTCTTACGGTTTGGGCTGTCCGTTGATCACCAATCAGCCAGTCAGTCAGGTCAAACACTTTTATATATAGAGATTGTTTTTTTTTTTATATGAGTGGCATAACAAATTAATAATCATCATTAAATAAGCTCAGCCTTATATTAGTTTCGCAAAGCTTTGTCTATTATTTTTCCAATTTTCCCGTCTTGTGCTCAATATGGACCCAACAAAGATTCTGCTAAGATTCTCGCTCTAAATTCGTACCGTCTTATTTAAATCGAATAAAATACAGATCGATCTTCACAATATTTGTGTATGTGTTTAAAAATTGCGCCCATTAAATTTTATTATAACAAAAATGTGCATAATGGCTTCTTAATTTGCACTTGGATACGTCGTCAGTCAGGGCTGCTCAATGTTTTTTTTTGGCATTAAAAAACCGAGTGTTTAAACAAAAATTCACTCTGTGCACCCATATAAACAAAAGCGATTATTAGCTTATTGCTGCCATTTATTTCGAAAAGAGCGCGTTGTAGAGAATACGATGTGACGCAAAGCAGGCTGATAATTCTAAAAATTATTATCATTTTTATTATAAACAATTGTTTAGATCAAACTTTTACAATGTTTTGAAATACATATATTCAGTGTCTCGCTAAACTGTTCAAGATTTTTATTACTTAAATTAAATATTTTATTCGAGTAGAAAACGAAGGAAAACAAACTATGAAACTTATGAGAAAGGGCACAATAAATACTTGAATGTGTCACAAAACAATATGATTAAAAATTCATAAATCTATTAAATTGTTTATTTTTTACTATTCGAATACGTGAGTAAAAAAAGGGAGTCTCTTTTGGCACACTGGATTTATGTCAACGTCAATTAGGGCCCGGCCTCATGCATACTGATGAGCAACTGGCTTGTGACCGACTTTAATGCGTAATGTTTATAAATTTAAATATTTTCATATTATTAAGGTGATTGTCATAATCAAATTTTAGAAGCGTCAAGGAACAGCTACAATAAATATAAGTAAATTGCAGTCTCACACTTAGTCTAATACTTATATGTTGTAATTTTTAGATAGTTTTTATTACTGGCTACTTTTATTATTTTTCAATAATTATTCATAAGTGATTAACATGTGAAAATTGTTATTTTGTACTCAGCTTGTTATGGTCATTTTTTGTCTGTGACCCATTTTAGTTTTTAACTTAAGCACACAACAAATACCACAAATTCTTGACGCGAAACTAAATTTACTGCGAAACTGAAATAGCGTTTACAGCACGAAGATCCAAATGGGATCCCAAATAACGACGTAATAAACGAATTGTCAAAAATGAAAATATATAAAAATACAGCACAGTAAACACATGCCTCGTTTGCCAAGTTAATTTTAAATTTACGATTTATTTGCTTCTGTTCTAAAGCCCATTTAAACATTTCTACTTGCGCTTAAAAGTATGCTAAGCACTTTAATCGCAGCTAACTTTTCATAGTATGTTTACTAAAAACTAAGAATTGTATTTAATTTATTGGAAATCTATTTATTTTTGATTTGTTTTGTAGATGCTGGGAACAGCGCTGCTGGGCAAACGTGCTACAAAGGTAAATAAGCGAGCGAAATATTGATTTGATTTTACATTCATATATTGCATATTTCTTTGCAACAATAGCCCGTTAAAAAGAAACCCTTTACAGATGTCGAAATTAATGGTAAGTAAAGGGAACAAATAAATATATTTTATATTTTGTAGATATATATTAAATCCACGCAGATCTTCTGGTCTTCGCGGCGTATACGTAATCCAGCCATAAATAACCAATGCACATTGCTATATTATTATCAGATATTCATACATGTAATTATTTAAGCAAGTAAATAAAACCCTTCTATCTTCGTTAAACGATAATTGGGCAATAATAAGCAATTAGTTACCAGCCGCTCACACGGCGTATACGTGATCTGGCCAAGAAATTTGCTGTGCATATTGCAATTTATATGCGGCCCGCACTTTTGAACTGAAAAATGTCTAAATTTAGACATGGCCGCCTTTTGCGTGTCGCCAAACGCTAGACATGGGCTGCAGCTTTCAGTTTTTATAGTTTGCTAAACAGATCGCTTATTTTTGGGCAGCAGAGACGGCAGGTGCGACGACACTTCAGATATTCGGACTTAGCTCGTTTATTTCCTAATGCTATTTTCATTTCGAGCTCAATAAAATGGAAGAAAGGTCCATGCACCATGCCCGGCAATGTGTCTTTAATCTAACCGAGACATCCGCAATCACGAAATTTAATTTAATTAATGTGCTAGCCCCGATTACTGATAGCAAATTCTTTTTGAGGCCAAAACAGTTGCAAATCACGTGACAAATCTTGGCCCCAAAACAACAGCAAAGGTGAATTCCAAAAGATAAGCACTTGGCCCTCATATCTTAAGCCAAGTGCGATTTAGGTAGGGTCTAAAAGCCAGCTGACAACATGGATTATTGCAAATTATTAGCAACAGTCAGAAGATACTGAGTAATGCTCGACGATCTTTTCCTATCTTATTTTGAACAGAGTGTCTCCCGTTAAATCTGATCAAGCATTACTCATTACCGAGTACATAACAAACGGGTGTATTATGAGCTATCTTCAGATACAAATATTGGCAAAGTGTCGCCATTCTGCCTGCAGCTTATCATATGAAGACAGTTCCAAAAATCAAAAAACTCGCAGCTCAATTAACAATCACACAGGAATGAAAACCTTGAGGAAAATTATATTTGTAATTTTTTACTCTGCACTTACGATATTTGAAACTAAGCTACCTTACGATATATTTAACTAAGCTATCTTACGATATACGTAAGAATACCAAGATAGCTTACGATATTTCTAACTAAGCTATTGTACGATAATTGCAACTAACCCTCATTTTATATAACTTTCGATTTTTATGATCCAATTTAAAAATCTGTAAATTAAATTATACTTGAATTGAAATTTATGAAATTAAACTTTGGTAACTTGCGCAGAATTATTGTATTTGTATTTTTTCACTCTGCATTTTATATATAAGTATTATTTCTTACTAAACTCTCTGACGATATTTCTAACCCATCCGCATTTTATTCAACGTTCCATTTTTATAATCCAATTAAAAAATCTGTCAATCAAAAGAGCTAAACTGATCTATTGTAGGGTACTGATAGCCGTTACTGAAGCGGCCCACTTGTCTTCTTTGGAGTAAGGTCTGTCGTATCTGATAATCTGTCAAAAATAAGAGAGGCAACCAGAATAAAAAGCAATAAGCGCGTATGCCAAATAATATTACAACACGCTATCTGTATATGTATTTGTGTATACAGGGTGTATTCTTAGTTACTTATATTACATTCAGACAATTCTACAAGTTAATGAAATCAGAGGGCACCCACACGCCTCCGCGTTCAGTTCGAGCTGATAAAAAGCCCTGGTTCTCGTAATACTAGTATTGCAGTTATCTCAGGTGTGAGAGGTGCTCGGAAATTGTTTGGTTGCCTATCAGGAAAATGATATACAATACAATATAATATACACACTCTCGCTCTCTCTGAGTGTTTTGTCCAAAAACAAAAGTTAGTCATTATCTTGGAGTTTTCGTAGATAAATCGTGTGGCACACGGCACACGATTGGCTTTCAGTTACCGCGGCTAACCCAGACCCGTCAGACAATACTCAGCTCAAGTCCCCCGCCCCCAAAAAGTCAACTAATTTGTGAATTTGTGAAAGACTGACGGACTGATTGATGTGAGTGATTGAGCGCGTTAAAACACTGTTCAAAAAACAATAAAGAGACGCACACTTCGACAATATGAGCAAAGATGATAAGTGTGAGTATGTGCCCAAAGAACTTGAGGTATTTCTACAAATTGTGCGGACTTCGCTCAAAATGCCGGCTATTTTATTGTGTATGTCTATGTGTGATTGATCGCAATCATAATGTGATTAAGTGAGAATGGAATTTTGGACATGAAGGATTGTCTCTTGATTTATAATTGTGCAATTTTTTGTGTATAGTTCGCATTTTTGTACTCTGAATGAGTAGTGAAAATGAGTGAAAATATGACAGGCAGAAGAAAACATCTGCGACCACAAAGAGCATAAATATTCTTTATCAACAGGAAGTCTTATTCCATTATGCATTCATTTAAATGCATACATTTAAAAAATCCATGGGTTAAAAAAAGTTCACCGAATAACGAATCGCTTGTAAAGTCAAGCTTTTTTGATAATCTATTGCCATAAAAACAATGAAAATCTAAATTTTTAGCAAAATAGACCAAGGTCACATCACATTTTTTTTCAAAATCGGGGTCGGTTCAAAATGATTTTTTTGATGATTTTTTTAAATATCGTCTGATTTTAAAATGTTATACCTTTTTAAACTCGTACGGATCCCTACTATCAATTGGCGTTCGAAGAAATTAAAAATCGATAGGTAGGAAAAAATAAATATCTAAAATTTGACCAAAATCGACCAAAAATCAAGGGGTTACATCACGTTTTTTTTTTTCAAAATTAGGGTCGGTTCAAAAATCAAAACTTTTTCCATGACAAAATGACATGGGGTTACATCACGCTATTTTTTAAAAATAGAGGTCGGTGCGAAAATCGAAACTTTTCGATTATTTTTTTTTTAATATCTCGGGTAATAGCTCCGCGGGGAGATATGACGTTCCAAAACGACATAACTCCGCGCGGAGATATGACGTTCCAAAACGACATAACTGCGCGCGGAGATATGACGTTCCAAAACGACATAACTCCGCGCGGAGATATGACGTTCCAAAACGACATAACTCCGCGTGGAGATATGACGTTCCAAATGACATAATATCTCGGGTAATAGCTTCGTGGGGAGATATGACGTTTCGAAACGACATAACTCCGCGCGGAGATATGACGTTCCAAAACGACATAACTCCGCGCAGAGATATGAAGTTCCAAAACGACATAACTCCGCGCGGAGATATGACGTTCCAAACGACAAAATATCTCGGGTAATAGCTCCGCGGGGATATATGACGTTCCAAAACGACATAACTCCGCGCGGAGATATGACGTTCCAAAACGACATAACTCCGCGCGGAGATATGACGTTCCAAACGACATAATATCTCGGGTAATAGCTCCGTGGGGAGATATGACGTTCCAAAACGACATAGCTCCGCGCGGAGATATGACGTTCCAAAACGACATAACTCCGCGCGGAGATATGACGTTCCAAACGACAAAATATCTCGGGTAATAGCTCCGCGGGGATATATGACGTTCCTAAACGATATAACTCCGCGCGGAGATATGACGTTCCAAAACGATATTACTCCGCGCGGAGATATGACGTTCCAAAACGACATAACTCCGCGCGGAGATATGACGTTCCAAAACGACATAACTCCGCGCGGAGATATGACGTTCCAAAACGACATAACTCCGCGCGGAGATATGACGTTCCAAGACGACATAACTCCGCGCGGAGATATGACGTTCCAAATCATCACGTTGTTTTTTTCAAAATCAGGGTCGGTTCAAAACGACATAACTCCGCGCGGAGATATGACATTCCAAAACGACATAACTCCGCGCGGAGATATGACGTTCCAAAACGACATAACTCCGCGCGGAGATATGACGTTCCAAAACGACATAACTCCGCGCGGAGATATGACGTTCCAAAACGACATAACTCCGCGCGGAGATATGACGTTCCAAATCATCACGTTGTTTTTTTCAAAATCAGGGTCGGTTCAAAAATCAAAACTTTTTCGATGATTTTTATTGAATATCTCCCGTAAAAATCGTCTGATTTTGAAATGTTATACCTTTTTGAATTCGTACGGATCCCTACTATAAAATGGCATTCAGAGAAATTCAATATCGATGGGCTACAGATGGGCGCGGAGATATGACGTTCCAAAACGACATAACTCCGCGCGGAGATATAACGTTCCAAAACGACATAACTCCGCACGGAGATATGACGTTATGTAGTTTTGGAACGTCATATCTCCGCGCGGAGTTCTGTCGTTTTGGAACGTCATATCTCCCCACAGAGCTATTACCCGAGATTTTCGCACCGACCTCTATTTAAAAAAAAAAAAAGCGTGTTGTAACACCTTGCCATTTTTTCAATTTGGGTCAAAATTTTGGAAAATCATCAAAAAAGGTTGATTTTGAAAACGAATCAGTTTTTTGTCAATCATTTTTTGTAGCCCATCGATATTGAATTTCTTTGAATGCCATTTTATAGAAGGGATCCGTACGAATTCAAAAAGGTATAACATTTCAAAATCAGACGATTTTTACGGGAGATATTCAATAAAATTCATCGAAAAAGTTTTGATTTTTGAACCGACCCTGATTTTGAAAAAAACAACGTGATGATTTGGAACGTCATATCTCCGCGCGGAGTTATGTCGTTTTGGAACGTCATATCTCCGCGCGGAGTTATGTCGTTTTGAACCGACCCTGATTTTGAAAAAAACAACGTGATGATTTGGAACGTCATATCTCCGCGCGGAGTTATGTCCTTTTGGAACGTCATAATATCTCGGGTAATAGCTCCGTGGGGAGATATGACGTTATAAAACGACATAACTCCGCGCGGAGATATGACGTTCCAAAACGACATAACTCCGCGCGGAGATATGACGTTCCAAAACGACATAACTCCGCGCGGAGATATG